TTCCCGATCCGGATCGCCTATTCGCCGATCCGGATCGGTTTTTTGGAAGCCCGATCCGGGTCACCGATCCGTTTTTTAAACCATTGGAGTATACTATCTATTTCTTCTCTCGGGTATAACCCAATCTAAGAGGAATTTTAAGACCCCAAATTTTTGGATGTAACGACTAGCTATATTTAAAAAAGTTTCCAAATTGGACTCTCTTTATACTTGAAAAAAAATAATGTCTCAAGATTAAACAAAGTCCATTCATTTTTTTTAGGGTTCTCTTGTAGTGTTAAAAAACTCAAAATTAAATTTTTTTTTTTCTTTTAAAAATAATCTTCTGGTGATTTTTAGTTGGTTTCCAAAATTCAAAATGAAAAAATCCTCCTAAATAGGTCTTCTGACCGAGGAGGTTCGTACACTATACATTTTCCTGCGGGAGCATATCATAAGCCCCTAAGCAACTATGTTAGGATTGAAAAGCTTGCCAAATCTGTGAAACATCAATTTTATGCCTGTTTGGACATGCTAATAGCCCTAATCACCTTTATGGGCAATAGAAAAATTAGTGTGTACAATCACATAAGTGAGAATAAAAATTGACGAAGGAATTGAAAACAGAAGTTTATAAAAGCAATTACTACAAGATCTGCCCTAAGGAGCTTAAATGTATCCCCAAAGAAGAGTGATACCACAAACTTAAATATCATGCTTCTTATTTCTGTTATTGTTATATCATTATTTCATTTGCTTAGTCTCAGAAGCTACAACTGTGAAACTTCATCAAGACTAAGCTTATGCCTGGCCCAAAAACTTATAGAGCCACACATGTAGTAACAAAATACAAAGAAAAACAAAGGCAAAATTACCCTTTTTACTAGAACAAGTATTGGTTGCCGAAGCATAAACGGATCGATTATTTTTGAATCTGACCACCATTGACCCTCCTGCAATTCGATCGTATTTCGCCACTGGTTCCTGTCAATGGGCTTATGTTACCCATTTTTATTATGGAATTCACAAAGCTATCGAAAAAAGTGCTCTGGCTACTAGCAAAGCTCTGTACGATAGGGACGGTGGCACCGTCTATGGAGAAAAGCTCTTGATCAGACTGGAGCAAGCCACGATTGCTCTGGAGGTTGGTATAGTAGTTGTTATCGAATCCATCTGCAGTGGTAGGGTCTAGGTCAAATAGAGTGGTGTCATCTGTAGAGTTGGTGCAGGAACCGCGTAGGCTTGTCACATATGCAGAGTCCATACTGGAGTCTTGTGCTCCGGTACTGTTAAAGTTGTACAAGCGATCGTTGAAAAATTGGCACTGGGCTCGCCCAAACGTGTGTGCTCCTGGGAAAGGAGAAAATGTGGGCAGAGTACTTCTTAATCATCAACCGATTATTAGATCAATTTGAAAAATTAAATTTAAACCATGCTCCAATATACATGCCTAAATAAAAAATAAAAAAATATTTGCTTCCACCTCTGTTTGTGTGTGCAATTCATTAGACTCGCAGTCAATCTGATTTGCACTATTTTAAGAGCTCCAAATCCATCTTTCTGGGGCAGAAGTGGATTTGAAGGGGCATTTAGATCTATTGATTTGGAGAAGAGGGGCACATACAAAAAAAAATTATATGGTTTTTAATTTTCTAATTTGGGTCTGTAATTTTCTCCCCATCTCATAAGGTAGTGAATTCTTTTCCTATGAGGGTCATTTAGTGGTAAATAATTTTCACATGTCCAAGAAACCTATTTTTTTCATAAATTTTTTTTTTCCACCTATTATATTTATATGAACTAAAGGATGCTAACCTCTCGGTCACTAACAACCAATTGTTTATTCGATTGATCCAATAAAGGTATTAACTTAGCCTGAAGGAACGGATGCAGATTATTACCGGAGAGGGCTACGACATCAGTGGTGTCAAGTCCTTGGTTGGAAAACATGCGGGTAATATTGCTAAGGCCGTCCCGGGGGCCCGGAAGGTTGCTGTTAGCCCCAGCTCTGTTCGCCGTAGTGCCGTCCCTTCGCCCAAGTAGAACACTCCATTCTGGACCTCCAGCCTGTGTAGTCATGAGCAACCGGCCACCAGTAAAATCGTCATTTTCTGAACATAGGAAATCTTATACTTTGAATATGCAGGACTATTTGGAAAATTTTCATAATCATCCATGAATCTATCTAGTATTAAGAGGAATTTGCTGGGCCTTAGAGCTTGAACTAAGAGTGGATCATGCCAAACCTGACACCACATAACATAAATTGTCACACCCCACTCCCTTTCTATCACTCTCCAACTCATCAATTGGACAGTGATGATCTTTATGACCACATATTTGATGTGATCATGTGGATCATAGAATATATCCTTATGCATGTGTTGTGTACACCATATATCGAAGTCTTTCTGAACTTCGTGTATAAAGAGAGAGAGAGAGATTCAAATTACTACTCAAAAGTGAGAGAGAACATGAGAGAGATTCAAGTAAACCAAACGAGAGAGAGTTGCTATTCAAAAGAAAGAGAGATTCAAGTTACCATTCAAGAGAGAGAGTTACTATTCAGGAAGAGTTAGAGAGAGAGACAAAGTGTGTAAGAGAGAGAGACAAGTTACTACATCATGTGAGAGAGTGTGTGTGTATGGTCCTCGGAACCCACGTTTACATAATTAAGAATCTCAAATAACGAGATCCCAACTAAAATAGTGTATGTAGTTGGCTAAATACGAAATATATGAGATATACCTCTCTCTAGATATAACCTCACTAACTTCCTTTCTAAACCCGCTCTCCCAACCGCATATAATTCCTTCAATCCACCTCATCCTTTTTACCCCGACAAGGGACGACCTTTACAAAATAAGTATTATATTTTCTTTAGACCTCTTGTTATAGAGATCTTTAGCACTTCTTTTTCGCCTCCCAAAAAAAACCTTTTTTTTTAACCATAATACCCTCACAAAGGTATAGTGATTTCGACTATCACTTTACCTAGCAGAGAGTATCTATTCAAAAGAGAAAAAGAGAGATTCAACCTACCATTGAAGAGAGGGAATTACTGTTCATCAAGAAAGAGATATATATATATATATATATAAAAAGAGGGAATTACTATTCATCAAGAAAGAGAGAGATATATATATATATATATAGCGAGAGAGAGGACATACCAAAACAACTGCAACTTCGGAAGCAATGGCAAGGATATCAGCACAAGACACAACTCCGGAACACTGGCTCTCCAAGGCAGTCTTTATGTCGTCCACCACAGGGAAACCTCTTGCTGAGGCTTGATTAGGGAAGGCGTCCTTCTCACTATCAATGGTTGAGGTACTATCCAGTAACAACGAACCATCACAACCCTAACATCACAAATTAGAGAAATAAATCAAAACCAAAGTATCCTCTATCATTTAGAGCAAGATTGAGGCCCCTGGTCCCACTATTATTATAGAATAAGGAAAATATTGTACAGGGTACTCAGACCAACATCTACTGTACATGATGGGCTATCGTTCACTTTTATGGTTGGCAGTTCGCCCGGTCGGGCCCTTGATTGATGCTTGTCGGCCTGGTTGAAAATAATAACGGGATTTGGATAAAAACAGGTCAAACAATTTGGTTGATTAGACTTGCTGGTTTTAATCGGTTCAATCGGCTGAATGAAGTTAAGCAATCTTAAGCTATTACCTCTGTTTTTTTAATTTTTTTTAAAGTCTGATCCAACCGATTAGACCCTATGAAATAAGAGTACCTCAATATTGTACTAGTACGAGTATATTATCGTGTCCTAACAATCCCGGAGTATCTTTCATGCAAACATGGATTATCAAAAATATAAACGTATTTCATGGAGACTAGGATATTATTAGAAAGAGAAAGGACTTAAGATTAAGACCCGTTTGGAAAGCTAAATAACTCGAACATGCAAGGGATCTGCTCAGGAGAGAGATTTTTTTTTTTTTTGTATTATTTTTTTTTAAGGGGGACGACATTTTGAGGGCCAATTTCTTTTTTTTTTTTGGGTATGTGGGGCTGACAAGCTTCAACCCATTTTTTAAATAGTCAAATTCATTTTTGAAATAGTCAATTTTAAATACATCGGTAAAAAAGGAGGTCAAGACCATTAATTTAGTCCTCATGAATAGTGGAGACCATGCAAGGCCATTTCTCTCTCCTAAACGGGTGAAGGAAAAAGCAGGCCTATTCCCAAACTATTGGGCTTCGACTTCATTTAAGGGCGGCAACGGGCTGGGCCAGGGCTGGGGCGAGACCAAAAAAACAGAAAAAAAAAAAAAAGAAAATGCGAAAAACAAGGAAAAAAGCAGACTAGGCCAGGCCGGGCCGGGCCACGTGGCCCATTGCCAGCAATAGTTTTCCTAACAATATAACCAAAGAGAGAGAGAGAGAGTAAACATACATCAACAAAGCAATCATGGAAATGGAGACGAATCAAACTGGCTCCTATGCGCGCATCTGATTGGGCAGCTTGTTGAACAACGTTGCGCACAATGCTAATCACATTAGGGCAAGTGGTATCATAAAAGGTGGCACTCAATTGTGCCCTACCCACCCCAAAAAACCCTACAACTAAGCCTAGAAAAACAAGCCCCACTCCTTTGTTGGAACCCATTTTACCAAAAGAAGAAGCTCAACTCCTAAGAGAAACCCTTTTCTCACACTAAAACTAGAGGAGTATTTCTCTCACTTGTTGCCAAAACCATGAGGGTTGCCTCCCCTTATATATACACATGGAGCAATGGCCAAGCCATAATCTTAGCCACTGGGTAACGCTTGGTCGAGCCGTCGCTTACTTTTCAAACCCCTCTTTTCTGATTTATCCTGAAACCGTAGCTCTAAGTTATTTAAAATGGTGGGGTCAGGTGCGCTCACTTTTCAAACCCCTCTTTTCTGATTTATCCTGAAACCATAGCTCTAAGTTATTTTAAATGGTGGGGTCAGGTGCTTCTTGGGTTCACTTAAAGGAAACTAGATTTGAAATTTATAACTGATTATTAAATCGATCGTTTGACCTCAAGATTATGGATTCGTGAAAAAGTGATTTCAAAAGTAAGTCATGTTTTGATACATTTTATTTTCAAGATTTTCAAATGTTTATAGATTTGTTAGATCGTCACTATTTTTGAAACTTTAAATTATATAATTAGGGTTAACAATAGATCTTCATACCATCACAAGGTTTTCTAGTATCTTTAAGCATAGTTATGAGGTGCTACTTACTTTAATACTATAAATTGCACACTTCGGTTGATCTCACCCTTAAATTTTGGTATAAAAAAACCGTAAACCCTTAAATTTTGGTATAAAAAAACCGTAATCATTCTTATCCATCAAATGTGAAATTGGGCGAGTGGAATATGATATTTTCCAAACATAAATCAATGGAAAATATTCGCATGTGAAAGGAAAAGAGGGAATTCTCTACAATTTTAAGTACAAGCATACGAGGGATAAATAATAATAATAATAACCAATACTTTAAGAAAATAAAAAGGGAAAATAGCAATTCAAGGAGGGTATTTCAGATATATTCTTTTTGAATATAGGATATTTAATAGGTTGTTGACATATTTAATAGGTTCTTGACACGTGCGGAATTTTTCTTCTTGACATATTATTGGGGAATGATAGGCGGCTTCCAACAAGACTTTTCCTCGCATGGCACAAACAAAATATCAAAAATGTTGGAATCATTCTCTTAATGTTTCCCACTCTTTTGATATTAAGTGTGTTCAAATGGTTATGTTGGAATCATTCTCTTAATTCCACTTTGAGTACTTTCAATCTAAACAATGCTTGTTTTTGTATTTAGTGGCAGTTATAATAGGGTGTGGTTTGTATAGAGTCGAAGCTTTAAATAATCAAATTAGAGCCCACCTTCAAATAGTATCGAGAAATGTGATTTCAATACTGAAAATATTTGACTAGCCTTAAAATATATTTTCATCTTTAATTATAAAATTTAAAGCTTCAAAAATAATGCAGATGGAGCAGGTCTATGAAAACTTGAATAACTTAAAAGTTGACAATACAAAAATACGTTACAAAATGCACTATTTCCCAAACTTAAAATCCATTTTTTTCTCATGTCCAGGCATCTTGATGTTGAGATGATCAATTTGATGATATTTGAGCATCAAAACAACCTCTTCTAGTGAAAGTTTTGAGATAGGCTCTAATTTGATTGTTTAGAGTCTAGGCACTCTATAAACTTTTCCCTTTATATAATAATAAATATATAGTATTAATCTAAATAGTAGTTGATAAATAATTGTACTTTTTTTGAATTCTTTTAGCTGTTCTGTTTCGGCAATAATATTACTTTTGATGCATACCAAAGTCTATTACTTAAGAAAACAACAGCTACGCATCAATTTATTAGTGAAAACGATTAGTGATAAGTCCTTTTGACTTATAGCCTACAGTTGTTAGTTGATAATGTTTTACCCTCTATGAAAGGTCTTCAATGATTGGTGAAGTCCAGAAGTGGAATAGTCTATAGGGAAAGAGTCCGGGTTTAACTGGTTAGTGCTTGAGGATTTGCCACATTACGTTCTAGGCTTAATTCCTATCACGGAAAAGGGCCCTCTCCCCTCCAAAGGTAAAAAGCATCCACATCCATCTTAAAGATAGATGCAAATAAGCGGTCCATTTAAAAACAATTGCAACTAATGCTCCAAACGTTTTCTTAACATAATTATTATTTCTGGTTTTCAAATTTTATTCATTTTTTCATATTCATGATTTCCATGTTAAAGATTATATATTATCTAACAATTAAGATCAAATTATATTTCGATGATATATTTATTGCCAAGCCCGCATTTCTACATTTGTGGGCTTGGCTGCATGCTAACTGCATCCTTATCTTAATGCCAAGATTAAATGAAAAACCTCATATGAAATTGAAGATGAAGTATCAAAAGCACATAATTAAACATAAAGAAAAATAGATCGAAAACATAAAGATTTATTTGGTTTAACGTGACTACGTTTACGGGCGAAAATAATCAATAATTTCTTTTATCATAGAACTCCAAAAAATACAAGAGCCCTCTATTCTAAGCTATCACTCTTTTCAAGACTTAAATAAATATAACTTTATGCGCAAAATACCCTTACCAACCCTGTTAAAGCTAGAGATAAAGTTGCTCATGATAAATCTTAACAAGTGATTGTCAATATTCGGAAATTCATTACCCTAAGATAATGAATTTTTTAAACCAAAAAAAAAAAAAGTTTGAAAGAAGGAAGGAGATACTTCACTCACGGACCACCAAAAAGTGTGGCGGCTTGGCCACTTCCTAAAAGACAGGAGACGAACCCCTCAAAATGAGTATTGACTTTGGTGCCACAGGCTTGAGAGGTCAAAAAATGAGGGTTTTTAAAATAAAGTAATTCTACACCCAACTGGATTTTTTTTTTTTTTTTTGACAATCTTGTGTATTTTTTCTGTCCTCGATTTTGGCATGGAAGATTTTTCTTTTACCCATGATTCCATGTTGCTCAATTGTTAGGCACACATCACTTTCGGTCTTTTTTTTCTTAGATACAAGACTACTGCTGGCTAGTATTTTTGAAAAATGACGATTTAGATAGAAAATCACTCATTTCGGATTGAAAATTAGTGAGACCGGTCTAGTTCGCTCTATATAACGAGAATAGGGCAGTTCCTGTTAGTTATGTCGGGGAACTGGCCAACCCCGCCCCACCATTTATTATTTTTCAATTTTATATTTTGTTCTCTATTTTTTATTTTTTATTTACCAATTCACTCAACAGAATCACCGACCCGGACTACCATCCACCAATCTGAACCGGTTCTCACGGGTGCCAATTCATCCAACCGATCTATTTTTTAAAAACACTGCTAGTATTTAAGGCTTTCCATTATTAATCAAGTAGATCCATATGAATTGGACATTCAAGCTGCCAGAATGAAACCAATTACTACATCTAATAATTTGTTAGATGATAAATTAATGTATGCTAAAAAAAATTAGATAATGGGTCAAATTTACACCCAAGTTTTTTTCTACTAATATCGCTTTAACAAGAGTTAAAATAAAGCTCAATTAGGTTTTTCCTTTTCTTTTGGTAAGCATGCCCCTGAATTAAATAAAATTAATGGTAACCTCTAAGGCCCCTATTGACTCCTTGGAAATGGGACTCCATGGAGAATATGTATCCTGGAATTGGCATTTCCTAGGAGATGGGTGTATGATGTTTGGATACCATCTGGCAGAGACCTAGAAGTTGCATCTTCATTATTTGAATTGGCTCAAAGATGTATCTTCAAGAAATTCAAAAAATTTCAATATATCATTATTTTTTAAAAAAATAACTATTCTCAACGATATAAGTATTGTACTTCAGAATTACTTAAGTCTTTTTTTTAAGTTTTTGTCCAAGTGAGACATAAACGGCAACATTTCAAAATTGTCAAGTTTGTCTTTTGATATCTAACAACAACCAAAATTTGAGGCAAAAATTGAAGTTTTTTCTTCAACAAGTTCAATATAATCTCTATACTTGCAAAGGTGAGATTTCATCATTCCAACAGTACATTCACAAAGCACGTGCATTAGAACATTAATATCATAATTAGAACATTAATATCATAAATATAATAATTAAAAAATAATATAATAATATTTTATTGGTATTAATATATTATAGTATTATTATATTATAATAATATCATTATAGTATAATATACTAATAATAATATGGTATTATTACAACATTATTATATTAACGGATGAAGTTTCTATAAAGCATAGGCTTTAAAAATATATATATATCGGTAAAGCCTCAACTCAAGATATCGTCCTGAAAACACATCGGGCATGAAAATCTCTATGATGGCTTTAAAATCAATTTCCACCACCGATTATAAAATTCATACCTCAAAAAATACTACAGATATTGCAAATCAACAAGCACTTGAAAATAGATAGTCCAGATAATGTATTATAATGGACATTGTTTTTAAAGATTGGAATCTTTTTTTTTTTTTTTACAACAATGGTCAAGATCGATATGATCGATTTGAAGGTTTTTCAATGTCAGAACTACAATCTTCTATGAATTTTGAAGTGAGGCTTTACTTATTTCGATAAAAGACTGCAACCCTATCAAAACATTTTCCCTAAAAATAATAATTTCATTCCACCGTTAGGGTAAAGGAAAATTTATATGCAAGATTATTCAGTGAAAGTGAGGGCATGGCATAAGAGCTTAACATCTTGAGTTCTATTCGTATCGCTAGTAAAAGACGTTGTCCTTGCTGAACTAAACCAAAAAAAAAAAAATTTGAAAAAGTGAGGGGGCCTACAACGAATGGAACTGATTTGGTTATGAGTATTGAATGGATTTAGTTGGAAGAAGGTTCTCCTTTCTTATTTTTGGCCTGCATGAAGAAGGCTCTTACATGGACGTAATTTCCATTTCAGGGAGAAAGAAGATGTTCTTTCCATTGTGGAATTATTTATGTAGCATGCTTTTGCAGGAGCACATTATGTATTTACTCTCTCTCTCTATGTAAAGACCTCCCCTTATATGCAACTGGAGCAATGACCTTTGCTACAGAGTAACGCTTGTTCAAGCCATTGCTTACTTTTCAAAATCCTCTTTTTTTTTGTGGTCTTTGAATTAGCTCTAATTTATTTTAAATGGTGGGGTCAGGAGCTTCTTGGGTCCTCTTATTGGAAACTAGA